CACAGAATCTGGTTAAACTCTCAGGAAACCGTTTCCTCAGCAGGAATGTGAACGCAACACGTGATGCCAATGATGCGTTCACTTCCCAGAAACAAGGATCCTGCTGGAAAACACTGAGCTCAGGAAACGCCTTCTTGTGTCTAAATGTCATCAGACAACAGAGAAAAGCTCCAACTGTAGCCACAGTGTTAGCCCAAACTAGACAACTGTAGCCACAGTGTTAGCCNGCATGTTGCTACCAACAGATGGTGACCACAGACAGCACACTGGGAAAAGGAAAGTGCAGTCCAGCTTTCAGTTTGGAAACAGGGTCGCTGTGGAAACAGAACCACAGAACAGAAGAGGTGAAGATGAAGCCAGCGTTTTCTAATGGTTGTGTTTGGATTATTTTAGTTGCCTCTCATGTGCAGGTCCTCCCTGGGGGTAAAAGACGGTGTTGGGAGGAGGCCGGTTCTGCAGCAGCTCTGGTCAGACATCAGAGGTTCTGAATGAGCTGAATGTTCTGCAGGCTGAGTCCTTCAGAGCTGAAGCTTCATCAGCAGGAAGGTTCCTGGAAACAAGGCTTCAGAGCAGAACCGGAGCTGAAGCTGGAAAACGTGTGAGGAAGCAGCAGGTTGACCTCTGATGTCAACAGTCGCTGTTTGTTTCTGTTTATCTGTCAGTTAACGTTGAATCTATGAGAACACTGAGATGAAGCTGCTCTACAAACTCTGGAAACACTTGATCTGCTCATACAGTCCATCAGTACACGTTAAAACACATGAAAGACTTTGACTGGAGTTAAGTTTGACTCCTGCTGAGTGTTTTCAGCCAAACATGTTCCTGATCCGTTCAGCTGATGCTCACCTCGTCCATCAGTGGCTGAAGCATTTTACCTAAACGTCAGTCTGCCAGCCTGAAGGGAGGGTTTCAGATTCAGATCTTCAGTTTTCATTTTTGAAGCTGAAACCAGAAAAGAAAACAACAGTGACCCTGAATCAGCCAATCAGTGAACAGCCGCCTGCTGCAGAGTCAGACTGGAGTCAGATGGATCTCAGGAAGGAAAACAGAAGCAAAAAGTCAAATTAGAATGTTTTTTTATTTAGCATTTAGCAGAATAAAGCAGATCTGAAGAGAACATGATGAGTCAGAAACAGTTCAGATCTCACTGGAAGGAATCCTGAACAGCTGACGTGACGTCGGGTTGTTTGAGTCGACGTGACTCGGCCGACCGGATCTGCTCCAGGACCGACTGAACATCTCTGAAGTTGGCAGTTTTGTTTTGAAGCTGCAGAAACAGGAAGCTCATGCAGAGTGAAGGTGGAGCAGCAGAAGAATGCGGTTCTGCAGGTCCGTTTGTCCGTCAGCAGCTGGCTCCTGACGGTGACTCAGCTCTGAGACGACTGACGGAAACCTTCCTGAGCTGAACTTGCTCAGCTGCAGATCGCTTTAATGCAAAACATGCAAACGGGCTGCAGACGAACCGACAGGAGCTTCACCTGCACAGACACATAATCCAGAAGGTTTAAACCTGCAGCACAAAGGGGAGAGCTGAGACAAGACCGTGCACGTGTTTAACCCGTTTTGTTGATCCTGGTTTTATGTGTTCAACACAATAAACACGACAGAAACCAGAATAAAGCACAGATTAGAATAAATCAGTTGGTATATGAGACGAGGGAGGGACAGCGTTCTGGTTATCAGGAGATAAAAGTTTTAAACTGAACATGTAGAGGCTCATGAGGACTTTTAAGATCAAATTTTGCAGTTTATTCTGAATAACAATGCTTCACATTGGTGAGGGTTCACTGCACCACAGCAGAGACCTGAAGCTGAACATGTGAACGAATGACCAGAAAAAACATTTCCATCGTGTCCAGCATGACTTGGATTTTCCAAAAAGGCTAAAAAAAATGTTCAGTCTTAAAATTAGCACGAACTGACTGTGAAGTTATTCAGGAGTTCTCTGCAGTTGTCTGAAATAAACTGTGAGCGTTTCAGTGTCGACAACAACCAGCTGGAAAACATCTGCAAAAACCCCAAATCCCAGTTTATCATTGATCTAAATGACGACAGGATTTATTCAGGTCTCTTCTCCTGCAGCTGATCAGACTGAAGGTTTCCTGATCAGATCAATAATGCAGATTGATCTTTCAGACTTTCAAAACTGCAGGAAGCTGCCTTTTGTTGGGCGGTTTTGAGTAAATGTCCAATCATTTTGTTAAACGTTAAAAGTTGTTTCTATGGGTTCAGTGCAGCTCCTCGTGTCGCTGAAGTGGTTCTGACCCACACAGGCTTTAATGGAAACTCAGTTTGTGGTTGAACACGTGTGCAGCTCCGGATCGGTTCAGGCATTAATTCTGCTGGTGTGTCAGCGTCGAGCAGAAAAACCGGTTCAGTCAGTTGTGGCTGCAGAAGATTATTAGTGATACGCATGAAGACAGAAAACCACCAGACTGACTGTAACACACATGTCCTGTGTGTGTGTGTGTGTGTGTGTGTGTGTGTGTGTGTGTGTCAGTTGGAGGACTGCACCCTCCAGTTGAGTCCCAGTGGAAACTATCTGGATCTGGATTCTTCTCTGTTGGAGCAGCGAGACGAGCTGGAGAATTTCTACGAAGACGTGGCGTAAGATTATTATTGTTATTATTGTTGTTGTTGTTTGTACTATTGTTGTTGTATTATTGTTGTTGTTGCTGTTGGAAACCAGAGGGCTGGACTATGAAGCCAGATCAGTGGGTTATCAGGTATGTTGAACTTAAAGTCCAAGTTCTCAGTATCATGGAGGTGGTTCTCTTTTTACCTACTAGGTCTCCATGGTAACTGATGNTAACATTAGCCGCTACATTAGCCTAAATAAGTAATGTTAACCACTATTAGCCCAACTAAGTAATATTAGCCACTTTTTTAGTGTAAACACGACAACGTCAGCTTAAACAAGTAACATTAGTTCGTACGTTTGTCCTCTAATCTCAGGGTTCGATCCCGCCCACACAGTAGAAGTGTCCTTGGGCAAGACGCTGAAGCCCGAGTTGGATGGCAGGCAGCTCAGAACGGGAAACATAAAGGTAGAAAGGTGCTACATAAGTGCAGACTATTTACCACTACAGCAGCCAGAAAATAACGTTAGCCTCTGCATAACAAGCTAGCTGGTTAGTCTAATCAGGATAACTTTAGCTACCAAGTTAACCCAAACTAGAAACTCAAGCTGGTACCTTAGCCTCAAAAGAAACACGAGTCACCCTGTTCGGCCAGTAAAGTACTGTCAGCTGCTATGTTAGCTTAAATAAGTAACTAGCACTAGTCCAGCTAGCCTAAATAAGATAAATAAGATGACATCACAGTCGCAGCTTTTCAAAAACATGTAGTTTGAGAACCTCTGTGGCCTGAAGGAAACACAAGGAACTACAATCATGGTGTCCCTGAACAACAGCAGCTCTCCTGATCCTAAAGCTTCTCTAAATGAGGTTTAAAAGGGGATCTTCCTGCAGCACCAACAGGACATTCCACAGTGGCTTTATCTGGACCACATCCGGCCTGCAGGACAAACAGTCCATCATCTGTCCTCATTACACCGATGCTCCACCACCACGCTAAACGTCCTCATGACGAGTGAATGTCTGACTGCAGCTCAGTGCTGCTGAGGTTCAGTTCAGATCAACTTGGCTGATCTGCCGTCTGTTCATGTCTCTGCCTGCATCAGTGTGTCTCCTGCAGCCTGTTGGTCCACAGTGATGTCATCGCAGGTAGCTGCTGACATTTGATGCTTCAGGTTGGATTAGCTGTGGGTGCTGTCACAGATTGTTGGATTTGACCGTCAGAGCCATGTGAGGCCTTCAGTCTAAGATCAGAGCTGCAGTCAGAACAGAAGAATCTCAGCTGCTGTTTGTTCTGCATCGCTGGACGCTTTTAGCTCGTTATAATCTGCTCAGCTGTTCCAATCAAACTCAGGCTGCCGGTCAGTGACTCACCGCCCTGAAGTCTGTCGGCTAGCATCAGGCTCTCAGAGCTCAGCTTAGTCTGAGGAAGACATGCTAATCCCTGCTACCAATGCTAACCCATGCTAACTAGGGCTAATCTGTGCTATGCCGTGTTACTCTGTGCTAACTTGTGTAAACCCATGCTGACTCATGCTAACCTGTGCTAACCTGAGTCACATGCAGGATGTTACCAAAACTACCAAAATTATTTAGAGATCTCAGAATGTGAAGAGAGAAGATTTGCTTGTTTCACAGACTGAAACAGAACAAGACGTGAAGCTCAGGGAGCTTTACTGGACCTTTCATACAGCGCAGTGTTCGCCCTCTTCTCAGATTCTTCTGCATATTTTGCCCTCTGTGATGTTTACCATCATCAGACAACCCGAGTAAACACAAAAGGCAGCTTTAGAAACTATAAAACTATTCAAAGCTGCCTGGTCCTGTGTGGAAAAGGTCATTTCATGTGGCGCTGTGGCTCAGGTGGTGGAGCCGCTTGTCCTCTGATCGCAGGTTCCATCCCCTCCACAGCCGAAGTGTCCTTGGGCAAGACACTGAACCAGAAGTTGCTCCCGATGGCAGGCAGCAGCTTGCATGGCAGCTCTGTCGCCGTTGGTGCATGAATGAGTGTGAATGGGTGAATGAGAAACAGTGTGAAGTGCTTTGAGTAGCACTGAGGTAGAAAGGCTCTCTGTACATGCAGAACATTCACCATTTAATTGGCCCCGAAACCGAATAACTGGTTGAAGTCAAGCGGTTTCTACAACTGCCGATGAGTCTTTACGTCTCTGTGGAGATATGTTGGTCCACTCTTGTTTGCAGAAGTGTTTTAATTCAGCAGCACTGGAGGGTTTTCCAGCTTGAACGGCCTTCTGAAGGTCATGCCGAAGCAGCTCCAGACCACCACCAGCACCACCAGCACCACGTCTGACTGCTGCCGTGTTGGTCCAGGTCCTGAAGCAGCAGAGCAGCTCCAGACCACCACCAGCACCACCAGCACCATGTCTGACTGCTGCTGTGATGATCTTTATCTGGAATGCTGGTACTTTCACACCAGATGGAACGAGACACACAGCTTCCATAAAGTTCAGCTTTGGTCTCATCAGTCCGTAGAATATTCTCCCAGAAGTCTTGGGGATCATTCAGATGTTTGTTTGCAGCAGTAAGTCGAGTCTTGATGTTCTTCTTGGTCAGCAGTGGTTCTGGAGCTCTGCCATGTTCGCCCTGCAGTCTCCTCCTTATTGCTGAGTCATGAACACTGACCTTGACTGAGGTCAGGGAGGCCTGCAGGTCTTTGGATGTTGTCCTGGTTCCTCTGTGACCTCCTGGATGAGTCGTCACTGGGCTCTTGGGGTCATTCTGGTCGGCCGGCCTCCTGGGAAGGTCCACCACTGCTCCATGTTTCTCCATGTGTGGATGATGGCTCTCGGCGTGGTTCTCTGGAGTCCTGAAGCTTTGGGAACGCCTCTGGAACCCTGTCCAGGCTGACAGACGTCAGTCACTTTACTTCTCATCTGTTCTGGACTTTCTTTGGATGGCAGCATCTTGTTGCAGCTCTTTGAGACCTTCTGGCCGACTTCATTCTGTCAGACAGCTTCTATTGAAGTGACTTGTTGACTGAACAGGTCTGGAGGTCATCAGGCTGACCGTGATGAGCTCATGGTTCACCACGGGGGGAGATTCCTTCATCACACAGGACCGGGTCGGTCTGGGTCGCTCTCACCTCAGAACATTACATCATCTTGTAAAACTGCATCTTGTGTTTACTTTGGTGATCTTTGTCTGATATCGACATTGTCTGATGGTCTTTAACATTCCAGTGGGGAAACATTCAAAAACACAGACGGCCAATAATCCTGTTTCACGGCGCCGGAGACCAAACAGTGAAACGGATCAACATGAATGGAAATCTGATTCTGCTCTGATTCAGCCCAAACAGCTGCCTGTCAGCGCTCCAGGTGACACGGTAGAGACCTCCGCTAGGTACCGGCCAAACAACAACCACAACAACAACAACAACCACAACAACCACAACAACAACCACAACAACAACCACCACAACAACAACAACAACCACCACAACAACAACAACCACAACAACAACAACAACAACAGCAGAGTTTAAATGCTGAAAATCAGAACTCGCTTTATGGTCAAATAATCCAGTGAAAGCCAGTCATTTAAAAGAAGAATAAAACTACCAGTGGATAATAAACACACATAGAATGAAAAAGGAGAAGTTAAAAAGCATCATAACAGGAAATGACATCATATTCAGGGGACCAATCAGGGAGGAGAAACTCCAGAACAGCGACTCTGTTTCTGATTGACGTCAGACTTTCCTCATGTTTGTTTTCACAGATGAAGCTACACAAAGACGACCAGTGTCCTCGGTTCTGATCCGATTAGAGCAGAGGACCAGATTGTCTGCAGCTCGACGTGGAGCTGACTGAACCAGCCCTCGTGTCTCCGTGTAGGTTTAGTTCTGACATAGCTTGGACGCCGGGTCAGAACTAACGTGTGAGTGTGTTTATGAGCAGCTCCAGGTCCGCCTCCAGCTGCTGCCCTGAAGCATCTCAACCTGCTCGTCTGTCGGCTGTAATTCACTTCAAATGAGAAGCTAAATGTGGACTTGAACTCCAGAGACACAAACACGTCTCCGTTAGTTAAAGGCTCGTCCATTCTGTTTCTGTCTCTGCGGGTCAGAACCTCCTCCTGTTGCACAGATTCACATAAAACAGCTCAACAGGGTTTTATTTAAAAAGCTCGCCTGACTATTGATGACTGGAGCAGACGTTCATCGCTGAACATTCACTCGTCTGCGTTGGATTCGTCTCCTCGTCACTGGAGGACGTCTTTTGAAGTTTTAAGTTTAAGCAACATTGAACAAGTTTCAGTGATTTTTCACCGTTCTTATTCATTTAAGATGAGTTATTTTGGACACTTTTCTTATTTGAGGTATTTTAGAGTCTGTAGTAGTTCTGCACAGTGTCGGATGGATTTTGTGCCATTTTTGACATATTTCTTGAATTTTGACTCGTTGGGGACAGATTCCAGGTTTTAAATCCTTTCTGACTTGGGACTGATGTTCATGTGGTCTCTGCTCTCTCTGACTTCTGGGTTTGTGCAGCAGCTACAGAACAACAGCAGATTGCTGCTCTGATAAATGGATATAAATAGTTCACAACTAAAGCAGACCATAAACAGGCTTTCTGCGTTCTGCTCCGATGACATGCTGCCGACTAGCGACGCTGCTTCATTCCTTCTGAAACGTCTTTGATCGATGGACAGACTTTTCCTTCTCAGTTTCACTCATTTTTGGAGATTTAAAGTTAAACTGTCGACTATTTAAACACACAGTGACGGTCACGGCGCCTCGTCCTCTCTGAACGGACCCTTCAGTGTTATCTGGTGGCCCTTCGGAGGCCGCGACCCGCAGGTTGGGACTCTGTTCTGGTTGTGCTGACGAGCAGCTTTTCTGTTTCAGAGAATCTGACGTGGTCCTGAGAAATATTCAGTCATCTGACAGCAGCCTGAGAGTTCAGCAGCAGCTCAGAATAACCGAAGTTCTGAGTATCGTGTCGAGTTTTAATGTGTTCATACGAACTCAGTCGTCTTGGCTTCGGTCGATGTGAACAGATGTTGGGTCTGGTAACCAGAGCTACCCCATGCTAGCTAGAGCTAACCCATATTAACTAGAGTTATCACATGCTAGCTAGAGCTAACCCATGCTAACCATCGGCAGCATGAACCGGCTGGAGCGGCTCCACAGAGCCCAGGACAAGCTGGCAGGAATGAGGGATTATGGGATGGCCGACTCCTCCCTGCTGCAGTAAAACGCCCTGTGAAAGACAACACCGGTCCTGTTGCCATGACGACCAGTGACCGTCTAATTGTTTCCTCAAGTCGTTTCCTCATGACCTGATCATAGAGACGGGTCAGGATCGGCTCGGTCCGGTTGGAATCTGTTTGGTTCTGTTTGGTCCAGTTTGGATCTGTTTGGTTCTGTTTGGTTCTGTTTGGTCCAGTTTGGATCTGTTTGGTTCTGTTTGGTCCAGTTTGGATCAAGCACTATTTTAGCCTTTTTAGACCGTTTTGAATAATTGTGGCCAAACCTACAGGCAGCTCGGTGCTGAATGATCCGATATTTGAATGGAGTCTGGTACAGCTGAACTCGGACCGCTACCAGCTGCAGTGACGGTGGTCGCTGTGTTTGGAGCTGAGCGTGATGAGTGACCTTCACTCTTCTCCAGGTCTTCCTCAGCTCTTCTGTCTGCTGCTGTTATTCTGAAGCTGAACTTCAAGCTTGGCAGTGACTCAGAGGTTCTGACCTCCAATAAAACAAACAGGAAATACTTCCATCCTCAGAGTTCCAGGAAACGGCTTCAGGATGAACAAACTGATGAGTTAATAACCTTCAGATGACGCTTCAGTGTGTTTGTTGCCTTTCAAAATGACAAATAAATGTTTAAATCTGTCGTTATTAAGCACCAGTTTATGGTGGAAACATCTCTGATCATGTGAAGGAGAATCCAGACACGAGGTTCAGGGTTTTCATTACAGATGTGCTGAAGCTGCAGCATCAGCTGTATGACACATGAACACCTTTTATTATCTCGGTGGTGTTCAAGTGTATGAATGTCCCTTAATGTGGTGGAGCTGCCGTCAGCTGTAACTACTGTTTGTGTGTCTGTTGTGTTTCAGAGAAGCTGTACAACTCTCAGGGTCCGGAGCTCCGGCGCTCGCTCTTCTCCCTCAAGCAGCTCTTCCAGGTAAACACGCTTTTAATTCTCCTTAAAAAACAGAAAAACTGCAGCTTTCAACTTCAAAATGATTCATTTTCAGTGATAAAACCAAAGTTTCTTCTACAACAGAAGTCTGACTTCAGCAGGACACGAAGCTCTTGATCTCAAACTGGTGCTGGTTCAGTTTTCTTCATGTTTCTGGTGTTTGGTTGAATGTCAGACTTGTGTTGCACAAACTCATCACATTCACTGAAGAGCACGAATCTGGAAGTTTTATCTCGAACTGAGGAGGAACATTAAGAGTTGGAAGAGTTAGAGGAAGGAGCTGGCTTCAGCCCGTCCAGCGTTCCTCCAGGTGTCCCCAGGTGTCCCCAGGTGTCCCCAGGTGTCCCCACCCTGCTCAGCTCTGGTGGGTTCCTCCGGAGGTTAAGGCTTCCTGGTGGATCAGTGTGGCCTGTTGAAGGCAGTGTTTCCTGGATGCTGCCTGACAGGAGCTGCTGCCTTCCAGACTGAACTCACAGCACAAAGCTGGTGCTGAGGTTCTGACCCAGTCTCTGGTGTCCACAGGATGATAAAGATCTGGTTCCGGAGTTCGTGGCGTCTGAAGGTTTGACGTGTTTCATTAAAGTGGGAGCAGAAGCCGACCACAACTACCAGAACTACATCCTGAGAGGTGAGACTCATCTGAACACACCTCCACTGTTCCTGGACCTTCTAGAACCCAATCAAATCTTTCAATCTAGGCTGGTGTTGATCCAGAAAGTCCCCGTCAGTGTCTATCTATGGATGGATCCAAGGTTCTACTAGAATCCAGTCTTTGGTTGAGATGCTTTGTGTTGAATTACCATCAGGACCAACATGACCCAGCTTGTAGCTCTACTCATCCAGAACCAACACCTAGAACCTATGAACTCCAGGTTCTGGTTCCTACCAATAATCCACATCAACATTTAGAAACTTCTATTCTATTCCATTTAATCTGAACATGTAAAACCAGAACCTTGTCTGGTCCAGCTTCACCACATCAGGTTCTGCTGATGTTAGAGACTGGGTTCTAGTAGAACCACTTTGTCCATGTTCAAGGGGCAGTAGTTCAGAATGTGTGTGGATCCCTCAGTCGTGACTTTGGGAGTTTGTGTCTAAACATGTGTAGATGTTCTGATCCGACTCCTTCTGCTCTGCAGCTTCACAGCGACATAACAATTAAATCTGCATCGGCTCCTGTTGTGGGCTGAACGTAGAACTGGTTTTATATTCAATGTGAAGACGCCGGTAGTTCATCTGTCAGCAACGAGCAGGGATGGTCCGGTTCTAGGAGGCAGCCTGAGCTAACGGTTCTGAGACTCTGAGGCTGCTGCATCAGAACCAGGACACTCAGACGCTCTGACTGTGAAGCTGCAGATGGAAACAGATCCACACATGAAGCCACAGAGAGCTGAGTCAGCTGGAGATACTGGTTATTATGGGATGGGCTCATCTGGACACATCTGTGGAAACACTCGCTCTGTGTGTGTGTGTGTGTGTGTGTGTGTGTGTGTGTGTGTGTGTGTGTGTGTGTG